GGACACTAAACAAATTGTGAATAAAAACTGAATGCAATGATGTGGAGGTGCCAACATCTAATATTTTATTCAGAATAGAACACAAATCACAGATCAAAAGTTTAAACTGAGAGAATGTTTCATTTGAAGGGAAAAATCTGTTGTTTCCAAATTTCATGGCGTCAACAAATCCCAAAAAAGTTGGGACAAGTCCATTTTTACCACTGTGTGGCATCCCCCCTTCTTCCAACACTCAACAGACGTCTGGGGACAGAGGAGACCAGTTTCTCCAGTTTAGAAATAGGAATGCTCTCCCATTCATGTCTAATACAGGCCTCTAACTGTTCAATCGTCTTGGGCCTTCTTTGTCGCACCTTCCTCTTTATGATGCGCCAAATGTTCTCTATAGGTGAAAGATCTGGACTGCAGGCTGGCCAGTTCAGTACCCGGATCCTTCTCCTACGTAGCCATGATGTTGTGATTGCTGCAGAATGTGGTCTGGTATTATCGTGTTGAAAAATGCAGGGTCTTCCCTGAAAGAGATGACGTCTAGATGGGAGCATATGTTGTTCTAGAACCTGAACATAGTTCTCTGCATTAATGGTGCCTTTCCAGACATGCAAGCTGCCCATGCCACAAGCGCTCATGCAACCCCATACCATCAGTGATGCAGGCTTCTGAACGGAGCGTTGATAACAACTTGGGCTATCCTTGTCCTCTCTGGTCCGGATGACATGGCGTCCCAGTGTTCCATACTTGCTTAGAAATGGCTTCCTCTTTGCACTGTAGAGTTTCAGCTGGCAACGGCGGATGGCACGGTGGATTGTGTTCACTGACAATGCTTTCTGGAAGTATTCCTGAGCCCATTCTGTTATTTCCTTGACAGTGGCATTCCTGTTTGAGGTGCAGTGACGTTTAAGAGCCCGGAGATCACGAGCGTCCAGTAGTTTTACGGCCTTGACCCTTACGCACAGCGATTGTTCCAGATTCTCTGAATATTTTGATGATGTTATGCACGGTTGATGATGATAACTTAAAAGTCTTTGCTATTTTACGCTGGGTAACACCATTCTGGTATTGCTGCACTATCTTTCTGCGCAACAATGGTGGAATTGGTGATGCTCTTACCATTTTGGCTTCTGAGAGACACTGACACTCTGAGAAGCTCTTTTTATACCCAATCATGTTGTCAATTGACCTAAGTAGTGTTAATTGGTCTTCCAGCTGTTCATTATATGCTCAATTTCCTTTTTCCAGCCACTTATTGCTACTTGTCCCAACTTTTTTGGGATTTGTTGACACTTCACAAAGTGAAGATGAAGAGCAGAGTGAAGATGAAGCAAAGTGAAGATGAAGCAGGTGTGGTGATGAGCTAATTAGCAGCAGGTGTGGGGCAGAACCATCAGAACCTGAACTGTTTCATGGGGCAGAACCAGTTTCTTGTGGATCTTTTCAAGCAGTTCAGATGTTTCAGATGTTTCCTGTAAGTCCAGAGTTTTGTGTTGGTCCTGAAGAACAGTCAGGATGTTGTTTCCTGACAGAGCTCCACCTCAGAGTGGAGCAACAGAAACGAGGTCCTGGTCACTTGTACTGGATAATTGTGATCATTACTGGTATTAGTTTAACTTTTGATCTTAACAACATTCAGTTAATTCTTTGGTTTTGTTTTATTAACTTGAAGACGACGTCACAACTTTTCTAATGTGCTCCGTGTTTTTATATAAATGAAGTGGGTTTTAGGCCATGAACTGGTTTCTACGTTACAAGACCCAGTTTGACTTTGAGACCCAGTTTGACTTTGTGTGGTCTCCATTTTGTTTCCACTGTGGACACAGTGTCTGCTTAGCTAACGCTAACAGCTAGCTTGTTTTATCAGTTTCGTCACATTTAATGAATTTTCTAACAGTTTTATGTAAAAGTGGATAAATTAGACGGAGGAGGAGGAGGAGGAGGAGGAGGAAGATGCTGTGGACCTCAACCAGAACAGGGTGGATTGTTCTCTTCAGGTCCAGGGTGAGGTTCTGCCTCAAGTGGAGGAGTTCAAGTATCTCTGGGTTTTGTTCATGAGTGAGAGAAGAATGGAGCGAGAGACTGACAGATGGATTGGTGCAGTGTCTGCAGTGTTGTGGACTCTGTGCCGGTCCGTTGTGGTGAAGAGGGAGCTGAGCTGTAAGACAAAGCTCTCTGTGGTCAGTCTACGTTCCTCCCCTCACCTCTGGTCATGAACTCTGGTAGAGACTGAAAGAATGAGATCGTAGATCCAGGAGGTTGAAGTGAGTTTCCTCTGCAGAGCTGGACTCTCCCTCAGAGACAGGGGGAGAAGTTCAGTGATCAGGAGAGACTCGGAGGAGAACCTGCTCCTCCACACTGAGAGGAGGTGGTTCAGTCATCTGGTAAGGATGCTCCCTGGGCGCCCGAGGCTTTCCAGGTATGTTGACTGGGAGGAGACCCCAGGAAGACCCAGGACACGCTGGAGAGACTCTGTGTTGGTCTGGGAACTCCCTGGAGTCCCCAGAAGATCTGGAAGAGGCTGTGGAGAGACATGTCTGGACCTCCATGATCAAGATGCTGCTGCCACCAACTTTAACTTTAGTATCAGGATGTTGGGGTGGATTAGCTGTGGCGGCCATCTTGAATCAGCTGTGGATTCTCATCCAGTGATCACTTTTGGATCCGGCACGTGCTGAAACATGACCCGCCTTTTGATGTCGGCGGCGGGTGATGGAGGACTGACATCAAAGACCCGCCAGGGTTTTGATCCTGTCATTTTTCTTTCTCTAATAAAGGTGTTTACGTCACACTGCGCGTGCACGCCCACATGACGATGCATACAAGTTCTCTTCATGAGCGAGCGTGTTTGCGTGTTTTCCATCAAGGTGTGCACAGTCGTTCCGCGCGCACGTGCGGCCGTGTGCGCGCACGCCGCCTCTCTGCTGGTGCTGATGAGAGCCGCTGCTCCTCTTCCTCAGTCCGTGTCGACCTCCTCCTCCTCCTCCTCGCGCCGCTTCCTCTGCAGGTGATGGAGGCTGGAAGCCCCGGGGACTCGCACCATGAAGCTCTGGACCCGTCGCTGGTAGGGGGGTTCGGTTAGGGGGGTTCGGTTCTGGGTGTGTTTGGTCTGATGTGCTTCAGTTATTTTTAAAATCCTGACGCGTGAATTAAACAAAGATCCACCTGGTTCTGGTCCGGTTCGGAGCTGAAACCCGGTTGCGGACCTCTGTGAGTTGCTCAGACTTTGAGGCGGTCTCGCCTGGGTTCGGGTCCGGTTCGGGTCTAAGACCTGATGTTGCAGCAGCTGCTGGTCTTTCTCCGTCAGGGCGTGTTTTTACGCACGGCTCGCGCGCTTCCTGCAGCTCAGACGTTGTTTTTATTTGTTTATTTTTGTTTATTTTCAGTAACCTCCCCTCTCCCCTGTCTCCCCCCCCCCCCGTCCTCCCCATCAGATGGCAGAGCACCTCCCTTCTCGCCGGGTCCTCATCCTTCAGTGACCCTCTGCTGAACGCTGGGTGTCTCCGGATCCGGCACGCGGACCATGGCCTGCGGCCCCCCTCGGGGTCTCAGTGCTGACCATGGGGCTCCGGTCCAGGACCTCCGCTAGCGGCTCGGAGGCGCAGAGGAAGCCCCCCGGCGCGCCTCCTCCCGGGGAGCTGTTGGACCAAGGCGGCGGCGGGGTGGACAAGGATGGCGCGCAGCTGCTGGCTGGACCGGTCCGGGGCTCTCAAGGCATCGGAATCGGACTACTGGCCAAAACCCCCCTGAGTTACACCCGGCCCGTAAAGAGGAATACCATCCGCAGGAGGAGGGTCCAGAACCTGGTCTACGACGCCCTGGAGAGGCCGAGAGGATGGGCGCTGCTCTACCACGCCTTCGTGTGAGTACCTGCGGGGTCTGGAGCACGTGCGGGGGTTCTGATGGGGGTCCCGAGTGGGTCCATCACCATGTTCGGCTGTGGCCCAGATGTTCTGCTGGAGCCGAACAGTTATGAAACAGCTGCTCCGGGTGTGAAGTGTGAGGCTTGTGACAACTCTGGACCACTTTAAACCCACTGGGTTACATAACCTGCTCCAACCGGTTCTGGACTGGTTCCCAACAGAACCTGAGCTCCAACCGGTTCTTGACTGGTTCCCAACAGAACCTGAGCTCCAACCGGTTCTGGACTGGTTCCCAACAGAACCTCCCTGACCCGAGAGCACTTTGGTTCTGTGTTTTTATTCAAAGGTTCAGGCTTCATGAGGGTCTGTGGAGGAGTTGTGAACAGTAAACATCTTACCTGTTGTGGATGCTCTCAGGTTCTGACAGGATTGATGTGGTAACGGCGAGTCCGACCAAAGTGGATCGTCTTAAACCGGTTCAGGTCTCAGAAGCTTCCGGGCAGGTTGTGAAAAAGGCTCGTTGTGTAAATCTGCAGTTTTTGATTCAAACTCAGATTTAAAGTTTTATAAACGGCGAAGGTTAAAAAAGAGTTTCAGGAAATTACCGTAAAGTCTAGAAAAGCGGCGCCTCTTAAAATATTACTGTAAATATTAATATATTTATATTTTTACTGTAGTTGATCTGAGTCCACAGCTGCTCTCAATAATTTATAAACTCTTATGCACAGCAGTAGCAGCTAGCTGTAGCGCTGAAGGCTCTTCCTGCAGGAACATCGTGTCTGTGGAAAAACCGTGAAGGTTTCTGAATCCTCATTCGCTCGGACCTTTAACCTTTGAGCACGGCAGAGATCCAGTTCTGTCGGTCCTGTCTGACTAGCCTTTAGCTCGGACTAGCCTTTAGCTCGGACTAGCCTTTAGCTCGGACTAGCCTTTAGCTCGGACTAGCCTTTAGCTCCTCAGTTCTGTTTAATAATCAGCTGATCGTCACGTCTTAATGTCGTTCAGTCCTGACAGAATGAAGAAAACTGCAGCCATTCAATCCATTCATACAAATTCAGTACTTTTTGTTTTTGCGATTTAAAAAATGCACGTTGGTTAAAAACAACCGAGGAGCAACGGTTGCTCTGATTTCTACAGATCATAAAAATCCCACGACCTCCGTCCACCCCAGCTTCATTTACAGCATGAAAGAGCTTCAGAGCAATAAATGCGACCGAGCAGACGTAAAACCGTCGCTCTGCTAGATCTGCTGCAGGTAACATGATGACTGTTCACCAAAAGAAGCTCTGGAATGTCCTTTAAACTAAAGTTTTCATGTTATGGTCCAATAGTTCCATGAAAAGTTCCATGAGTAAATATCTGAGCCGGTGGTTCGTTTGTTCCTCTGGAGCCGGTGTGGGTCGTGTTTGACCCCAGGGCAGCAGGAGGGTTGAAGCTCCGTCTGTTTGTGGTTCATGTTTTTAATCCAGTACGGTTTAGCTCTTATTACCGGAGTCTTCGGTGCGTTCAGTCTGAGTCTGAGCTGATTGGGGGGTGAAGCTGTAATTAATATTTTCCTCCAGGTCTCGGAGCTCTTGACCTTTTTTCTGTGCATCGGTTTCAGCTCTTCGTTCTCAAACGCAGTTTCTCCGTCTGGCAACACGACGGCAGGAAATCCCTTCGTCTCTTTCTTCGTCTTGTTGCTCGTTTTCAGCCAAAACGCTCAAAATTCAGACGGGTTTTGTTTTAGTTTTAGACTTCTTCAGTTTAAAGAAGCAACAAATATGAGTTTGTAAATTTTAATTAAAAAAACTTAAAACTTTAGATTTAACTGAAGAACCGTCTGCTCGGTGTTCTGGACACATCTGGTCCGTTTGGGTCACAACCGTAAAGCTTCAGCTCCGTATCTGAAACTGACCCATCGTTGTTGTTGTTGTTGTTGTTGTTGTTTGGCTAAAGGCGATTAGCCTCGGCGGCCATCTTGAACTCTGACTACAGCGTAACTGTGTAGAGATGCGTCCAACGGTTACGAGTTGATTTAAAATCGATCCACTGGTTCATGAGATATTTTGCTAACGGTGTCAAAGCTATACGTTAATGACAAACGAGGTTTTTACTTTTTATAAACTGAGTTTGTTGTTCCGGTCCACTACAGTGAGTTTAACTCCGAGTCTGTTTACCTTGAGTTAAGCATCAGTGACTCACCGTGGCAACCAAATGAGTCTGAAACCTGTCCAGAAGACCCGAGTCCTGGGTTCAGTTCAGATCTCAGGTCAGAGTCTGGAATCTGCCCAAATCCTGGTTTCCATGACAACGCAGCAGCTCGTGAGCGCCGGCAGCGCGTGAATCGTGGAGCGGACAGAAGACCTGCCACGTCAGCGGTTCCTGTCTGAGGCCCCAACGTGTAAATCACGTCCACGCCGTGACAAAGTGCTGCATCACTGCTCCGGAGGAGACGCAGCCTCGAGTCGGGGCCGGCAGATGGAGAACCCACATCCAGTTCAAGGTTTTCATCTCATCTTTAGTCTAATCTGAGGACTAGATTTAAATCATTCTTTGAAGTTTGTTCAGATTCGTCCTGCGGGTCTTCAGTTTGACCCGTGTGCTTCAGACTGTGAGAACAGAACCGGCAGCGTCAAGAGGAGGTGCAGGAGGAGGTGCAGGAGGAGGAACATCTACACTGAACATTAGATGAGTTGAGGAAATAAAAGTGAAACTCCAGCTGAACAGATTTAATCCTAAACTTCCTGAGACGTGAGGTGGACTTCAGTCTTCACCTGAGCTCAGCTGCAGAACTTCTGCTGACGTTCAAACACCGTTCACTGACGAGCAGACCACGAACACAACGTTCACTGACGAGCAGACCACGAACACAACGTTCACTGACGAGCAGACCGCGAACACACCGTTCACTGACGAGCAGACCACGAACACAACGTTCACTGACGAGCAGACCACGAACACAACGTTCACTGACGAGCAGACC